GCCTAACTTCTGGGCATTGATTGCCGTAAAAGCTGCATCCGCTGGCCCGCCGCTGCCCAACCAGGACGCGAACACCTCGTACTTAAGTGTAAAACGGCAGTACGAAATCCTTCGTCCCCGAGTTTAGTGCGCAAATGAAAGCGACATGGTGATGGAAAACATACAACTGATCTTGGTCTGAATAAGATTCGCTATCATGTATTGTCACTATCAGTAAAACGACGAGCGGGAAAAAAATGTTCAGTTTGCCCTCGCCTTATTACAAAGAGATTCATTGGTATAGCGATTCGGCATGCACAGCAGCGTATGAGTGAGCCTCAAAGCGTTTATGTTATCATCATGTGTAAATTAATATTTTGCAGCTATCCGAAAAAGTTGGATGTTAAGTGGCATCGCATTAACTAAGTGCTCGTCTGCTGCTCCATTCTCAGGAGTCCGCTTCTACTAGGTAGAGCAGGCAGACATTCGAACTTAGTGGGCCCGCTCGACGAGCCCGTTTGCCTTTCTAGCCAAATTCACCAAATATATAATGAATAAATCCATAAGATACATGTATCAGCACTATATGAGGTACGAAATGTGTCAGCCTTCATAAACAAATATCACAGGTTGTTTTGCAAACCCAAAATTTTGACCATGTGCACATTTAACTATTTGGGGCAAATGACGAGTAGTTGACGCATTTAGTTTAAGTGAGACTGGTTTGCCATGTGCAGTGATAACAAATTGTCTATACTGACCTCGCTACAACCGCATCAAGCAAATTGCTTATTCTTATGCGACAGCTGAGCGACTTCACTCGTTTGTGGGAAAAGCGTTTACAGTACATGGAAACTACTGTACATGTAGAGACGCATAGCGTAGCAAGTGTTGGTGCAACGGTCATATGTGTAGCGAAGACAGGGTGGATCAAGCTCGGAATCCACTAGCGCTTCTTCTGCTGTCAAAGAGTGCATCACTGCCAGCAGAATCGACATTATGGTAAGCAAGTAGCGGAAACGCGTCATCGACGAACACCGAGATGGCAGACAAGGCGCACTAGCTGCTACTTGGTGTGTCAGGAGCTCAATCTACGGCGACCAGAGCACGATCTGAACATAATCTTTTTCGCAGCTCAAAATTGCAGCGAAGCATTGCTTTGAATTCTTGGTAATTGAATAGAATTTCAAGCAGCCATTAATCTTCTTTCGCTTGGGATTTGCTTTGTGGCTTCATATTTCGCGCACCGAAAAGTAGATCGTAGTCAGCATGTAGTTATTTACTTCGAGGAAAAGTCAAACAATGAATAATGTGGCTTGTTATGCAGGCAGCGATGATTGACCTCTGGTACAGTAATTTCTACGAGCTTTTAGAAACACGAAGGTAGCAGTTATTATTTTCTTTTTGCCTTGGAGGCAAAAACCTAGATACCTAAAGAGAATTTGAGAACAACCTTCCTGCGATTATACATGACGGCCAGATAAATGCTGGATATTTCAAGTGTAGATACGCCTTTTCATAGCTCTCGTTCTGCCTTATGCATCTTGCGATGGATAGATGAATGAAACAAATGATACTATAAATTTTTCTTACGGCTGTTTGTCTAACTACATAAATAGGCAGGCTCGGAATGATTGCGAGTACTTTAAAATAGTTGCTGTTAGCCTGCTATATCGACATGTTAATTATCATCGCGAAGCCTAATCTCTCTTTAATCCGAAAAAAATCGCAAATCTCAGTATCAACTCTCGCAAGTACCAGTAGAAATGTGCCTAATTTCTGGATATATAGATAGGGGGCCAGGATTCGTCTGAGACCCACGTTACCCGCTTGCATAGTACGCAACCAAGACATACAAAATGCGCATTTGCAAACTTGACAATTCCAAGCAATATCAATGCCGCTGTGTCTGCAAATGCTGGCACAATGCCCATCATGCCGATAGTGTTTGCCTCGGCCGGTATCACCAGCTACGCTTATTGCGCAGCGATGCACACGACGACTACTAACTAATTTAGTGATCGCGAGCATAAACGCGCAGACCAGATCCATCACCATTTGGCGCTAGCCTGGAAGGCCAGACAGGATAACCAGTCCACCATTGTCTTCCTCAATTAATAAGGTTTTTAGTTATGTCGCTGTCTGCTTTAGGAGGAAAGGATGAAGAAGTCGAGTTAGAAATAAGAAAGTAGACACCGCGCAATGGGAAAAATGCAGGCGAATTAAAACTTTTGTAGTGAGTCTAAAAAATTCAGAGCAACGTGAACTCACATTGATTTTTGATCCAAATAACCATTTAAGTTTGTCCCGTCATGCTTGCCCCTCGAAAAACACTTCACTCGACGCCGTTGAGTATATTCCGCCGGGCGCTTGAGCTTGTGCATGTCGATACTTCCGACGTCGTCTACGACTTAGGATGCGGGGACGGCCGCCTCCTGATTGAGGCTGCGCTGAGCTTTGGTGTGCGCGCCGTGGGCGTGGAGATCGATTCGAAGCGGGTGCAGCAAGCGCGGGACGCCGCAAAGGCCAACGGCGTTGAGCACTTGGTAACAGTGCATGAGGCCAACGCGCTGGAATATAGAATACCCGTCGAAGCCACCATCGTCTTTTTATTTCTCATCAGCCGCGGCCTGTCGTACGTCAACAGTTGGCCCACCATATGCCTCTCGGATATAATCTTTTACCTAATTAGGTACTTCGATAATGTAGACTGGTGCGGCCAAAGCTAGAGAAGCTGCAAGCGTGTCGCGTGATCACGTACCTCTATCTGATCCCAGGTCTCATGCCTTTGGAAAAGCACTACTTATCAGCAAGAGAACCAGTGCGAAATAAACGAGAGGCGACTATTGAAGCCGAGTTTGGTAAATATTCGGCAGGCTTAATCGACGTGGTATTTCCAGTGTACTTTTACCACTTCCCCACACTAACGCAATCTGCCAAAAATCTGCCATGATACGATCCGAATGACTAGATAGCAGTTCGCTAATTATGCGGGTGGTCTGTCAATGAAGCAAGGAATTGGAAGTTATTAGCAAAAATTAGTGTTTGTGTTGAATAAATGCAGCTATATCTAAAGTAATACGCGGTATAAAAGCTTCAACATATTAATATACTAACACACTGGCTCATACTCTGATGTTATTCCAGACATGCGCTTCAGGTACGTAACTGGGTATGTACCGAATTGTGGATGACGCACACCATACTCTATTGTATTAAAGAGAGCTCGCTTTAACATATGCACAGACGCTGACATGATCAGGAGCACAACCGAGAGCCTCTAAAAGTTATGAGTTTCCTGGGTTGCTCTGCAATTTCGCGAGTGACATTTGTTGAAAATTAGTTTTTTGTAGACTAAATGTAACTAAAAAATATATGTATTGCATTAATAGCCCGCCAAATCGCGCATGTGAACCTCACGAAGACCTATCATCTATATACGTACCGATACCTTGGTCCACATGAATACTCATGATTCCTCGAAAGTGTATTGTGTCTTTTGCAAAATTGTACAAAAGAGTAAGGCATATATACTATTGTGTATATATGCCTTACTTTTTTTTGCAATAGTACAGCGTACATCCGTTAACCACTCACTAGTCTCGTCTGAGGGGTGTGGGGTCACACAAGATCGTGCCTACACACAATGGTGTGGCTACACCTTAACAAGAAGTCGCTGGAACAGCCAGTTGTTATACATTTAATTCGGTTTTACTATTCAATTAGAAAAACCTATAGCTTTAGATATAGGCGGCTTTGCCGCAAATAAAACCGAGAAATACAGTTAACATGTTAGATGAAAGAGTTAATTAGTCTTGGGTTAAGGTTGTAGTTACTCTTGAAGTAAGCAAATTGCGATCCGCTACACTCTTATTGGTTCTAGATATAGAACGAAGGTCACCGTCATTAACCAACTTCCTTTAAGCGAAAGTGCTATGGCAGCCCCGCTGCACTTGGTAGCACTTGTAGCCAATCTACGTCTAAGTCGTTACGACAAACCCGCTGTGAGGATGGAGCAGTCTCTAAATTGCCCCATTTCCAAAAATTTTATCCAAGGCAGCTGTGATTTCCGATAGGTTAGATTCTGGCATCAAGGCACTCTACACTTCACATCTTAATATGGTTTTCACAGTCT